TGCCATTTGATGTTGACTGGCTATTTTATCCATTCGTTGGTGTAAATTCTTCTTTATGTTGATACTCTTTACTTTTTGGTGTATTTTTAGAAAGGCTAATACTGGTTGTTTCTTTCTGTGTGTAATGCTTCTTTCAGAAGCTCTTGTAAAGCAGGCCTGGTGGTAATAAAATCTCTGAGTTCTTGCTTGTTCATAAAAGATTTTATTTTTCCTTCAGTTGTGAAGCTTAGTTTGGCTGGATATGAAATTCTGGGCTGAAGGTTCTGTTCTTTGAGGATGTTGAATATTGGCCCCCACTCTCTTCTGGCTTGTAGAGTTTCTGCTGAGAGATCTGCTGTGAGTCTGATAGGCTTGCCTTTGTGGGTAACATGACCTTTCTCTCTGGCTGCCCTTAGTATCTTCTCCTTCATTTCAACCCTGGTGAATCTAACGATTATGTGCCTTGGGGTTGCTCTTCTTGAGGAATATCTTTGTGGTGTTCTCTGTATTACCTGGGGTTGAATGTTGACCTGCTTTGCTAGTTTAGGAAAATTTTCCTGAATAATATCCTGAAGGGTATTTTCCAGCTTGGATTCATTCTCTCCGTCGCATTCAGGTACACCTATCAAACGTAAATTTGGTCTTTTCACATAGTCCCACATTTCTTGGAGACTTTGCTCATTCCTTTTTATCCTTTTTTCTCTAATCTTTTCTTCACGTTTTATTTCATTAAGTTGGACTTTGACCTCTGATATCCTTTCTTCTGCTTGAACAATTCGAGTGTTTAAACCTGTGCATACTTCTCGGAGTTCCTGTATTGTATTCTTCAGTTCCATTAATTCACTCATACTCCTCTCTAAGTTGTCTATTCTCAATAGGATTTCATCAAACCTTTTTTCAAAGTTCCTAGTTTCTTTACGTTGGGCTACAACATGTTCTTTTAACTCACCGAAGTTTGTTATTATCCATTCCTTGAAGAGTGATTCTGTCATCAGGAGGCACTCGTTCTCCATCAAGCCTTGTTCCATTGTTGATGTGGAACTGTGATCATCTTTAGAGGGAGAGGCGTTCTGACTTTGAGTATTCTCGGCTTTTTTACGCTGGTTTCTTCCCGTCATTGTAAATTTATCCTCCTGCCGTCTTTGAATTTACCAACTTTCAGATTAGGTCTCTTGAGTGGACATCCAGGTTGTTAGTTCCCAGGGCCAGAGCAGCGGCGTTAAAACTGATGGTGCTTTTCTGCCCAGGATTCTCCTGTCGGGCTTCCTTCTTGTGTCCGTAGTAGGCGACTCTGCCTTCCCGGGGCTCCAAACCTTGGTCAGAAGGGGAACCGGTCCGTTTACTCTGCGCCGAGTGCTGCGTGCCGAAGTGCCCTCACAGCCGCTGGGCCGGGCTCTGGTGTTGTGCTGGGGGCCCTTGTGGGTCCTCCGAACCTGTTTACTCTGCTCCAAGAGCTGCCGCGCCGAGGTGCCCGCGGAACCGCTGCGCCAGCCACGAGAGTCGCGCTGGCCACCCGTGTGTTTCCTCCACTGGGGGATCTTCTGCTCCGTGAGCGACCAGAATTTGAAAGTGTGGCGTCCTCTAGTTCTCCGCTCCTTCCCTGAGAGCTGCAATCCCGGGATGTTAGCGATCGGCCATCTTGGATCATTCTCCCCATCCCATCTTTTAAAAAGCAAAACAGTCTCTGTTTTGTTTTTGTTTCGAGCTGCGAGCCGGGCTCGCTCTTGCTAATTAGACTTCAGATCCCCCTCCGGCCTCAGTGCTCATTCCGGGGAAGACACCTGCTGAGATGTCTTTTCCCCCTCCCCCAACCAAACCACTCTAGTCCTGCCTGTGCTTTCCCGGTTTGATGCAGGCATGCTTTTTCTCTATGTATTTTTTCGTTCGACAACAAACAGCATCAGCTGGGGTTCCCGAAGGTCAGAAAATGGCTATTGATTAATCTATTAGAATAGTTGCCGAGAGAAACAAAAACGACGTAAAGTAACAGGGAACCTATAAATAAAGAAGCCATTAACTGTCTACTTGGAGTTGTTAAACGACTTAACATATGAAAAAATCGGAAATGAGGCTCTGGGAAAGGAGCCGGGATTGGCGGCGGCCTGGGTGTAAACAAATCCTCCAAGATTTAGCTTCGGAGGAAGCCGTCGGCAGAGCGGGTGGAGGAGGCGAGGAGGTGTGGCCAGTGCACGCGGAGTGCAATCCAAGTCAGTGATGGCCGCCTAGTTGGGAGCAGCAAGAGCCTGCCCGTTGTGGCAGGCACATGGAACCCAATCCCTATTTGTCCGCTGCGGCTGGGAGGGGAGCGCCGGACTCACCAGAGGAAGGAGCACGAGGGGAGAAGGTCCGAGAGGAAATAATTGGTGAAATATTTGCAGAAGATGCTGGGATGCAGATTTAATTCCAGGTGAACAGTGGTGCTTCTGATTCCCTCAGTCTGTTTCCCACCCACGATCTCCTCTTTCCTTGTCCTAGACACACCAAAAATAACTCGGTAAAATAAAAATAAAAATTTAAAAATAAATAAATAAATAAAAACGACAAGATTAAGTTATTTGCAGCAACATAGATGATGCTGGATACCATTATCCTTAAAAGCTAAAGCGGGCCGGGCGCGGGGGCTCACGCCTCTAATCCCAGCACTTTGGGAGGCCGAGGCGGGTGGATCACGAGGTCAAGAGATCGAGACCATCCTGGTCAACATGGTGAAACCCCGTCTCTACTAAAAATACAAAAAATTAGCTGGGCATGGTGGTGCGCGCCTGTAGTCCCAGCTACTCGGGAGGCTGAGGCAGGAGAATTGCTTGAACCCAGGAGGTGGAGGTTGCGATGAGCCGAGATCGTGCCACTGCACTCCGGCCTGGGTAACAACAGCGAAACTCCGTCCCAAAGAAAAAAAAAAGAGCTAAATAATAAGAACACACGGACACAAAGAGGGGAACAGCAGACACTGTGGCCTAGTTAGGAACAGAGAATGAAAGGACAAAAAGATTTCTAAAAACCTGTTCGGTGCTATGCTTAGTACCTTAGTGACAACATAATCTACACCAAACCCCCATGACACATTTTACCTATATATAATACAGCTGCGTGTGGACCACTGAACCAAAAAGAAAAGTTAAAAAAAAAAAAAAATTCATGGATGGGGAAGAGTGCAATGTAGCTGGAAGGAGCTGTTTGTTCTATAGACAAAGTGGCCCAGATGGGGCTATACTTTATGCGCTAGCGAGCAGATGAGATTATGAACAGCTGGCCCAGAACCCTAGATTGGTGGGGAAAACAGGTTGCTGCTGCAGATGCAGTGTCTGGGGGTGGGGATATATTCAGTATCAGAAGACTTGTAGACACACATGTGGGTTTTTGTCAAGAAACACTAGAATCAGGAGCCGTGGTGGCTCTGGCCAGTTGTCCTGGCGCTTGAGGAGGCGAGGCTATGAGTTCAAGGCCAACCTGAGCAACATAAGAAGCTCTCATTCATTAACAAAAAAAGAAAAAGAAACACTAGAATCAAAACTGCTGTGGTGAAGTTCCTGAGGGTGGTGACTGGGAGGGGTATACATCGAGGTCTAGCATGTGTGTTTGTGAGTGGGTGGGAATCCCATGGTGGCAGCGGTGAGAAAAGGGGGGGTCTGTCATCACAAGTCCTTTCCTCTAAGTTTTCATCCTCTCTCATCCTGGGAGGAGGCCTAGGATCCTAGGACAATGGGCAGTGTGACAGCCTGTGTACAGGACAGTAGAGCCTCCCATTCCCAGATACCCAGAGTTCCATTCCAGGCCAGGCCTCTGTGAAATGTTTCTTCTGGCACCAAATCTGTAGAGTTTGCTGAACACCAAGCAATTTTCCACCACCAACTCAATGTCTAACATTAGAATTCTGACACCACCCAGAGTCAGCACAGACCCTGATTCAGGGCTCAGTTCCACAACATTGTTCTCACAGCAGATGGCAATCACAAACCCCACAAGCTCACCTAGCTTCTGAGCTACTGTTTAAAAATTGGGGACTCCCACACCGGGCGCAGTGGCTCATGCCTGTAATCCCAGCACTTTGGGAGGCCAAGGTGGGCAGATCACAAGGTCAGGAGTTTGAGACTAGTCTGGCCAACATGGTGAAACCTGGTCTCTACCAAAAATACAAAAATTAGCCAGGTGTGGTGGCACACACGCCTGTAGTCCCAGCTACTCTGGAGGCTGAGGCGGAAGAATCACTTGAACCAGGGAGGCGGAGGTTGCAGTAAGCCAAGACCACACCATTGCACTCCAGCCTAGGTGACAAAATGAGACTGTCTCAAAAAAAAAAAAGAAAAAGAAAATCTAACCGAAGTGCATTTTGTAGTAAATTACTACATTGAGAGAAACAAAATTCAGCCTTAACCAATTATAAACTGCCAATGAACATCTGATTACATAACCAGGAAAATTTCACCTTTATTATACAAATCAATAAAGTACGTAACTGTGATACCTAACCAATTACTGAATTTGGTTTTCCTCATCAGGCAGTTCATAAAAGTCTTACCTTGAAGCCCCAACCATGGACCACAAATTACAAATCACAGCTGGGGTGCGCCACGATTTTTGTATTACTCTTTGATTAAATGCTTTAATGTTTCTATGGTCACTCCCATATATTTTCAACAAAAAAAAGAGGAACTGCGAATCCCGGGGGACCAAAGCTGTTCCCATTCTTGAACCCGCACCCGGGTCAGGATTCTCCCCTGGCGACCCTCTCGCGGTCCCAGCACAATCCGGGAGAGACGCGGCGCTGCGGGTGCAGAGCTGCCCAGAGCGGGCTCCAGGCCAGGGCACATTCACTGCGCAGGGAACAGACAGGACGCCCGGGGACCCGGCTGTCGGCGCAGCCGCCATCTTACTGCTGAAGGGAACCGAGGCCGAGCTGGGCAAGGAGAACTCGGGGGGCAGATTGCAGAGCTGACAACGGGGAGGCCCGAGTCCCGCCACAGCCACTTCCCACCGGTTTCAACAAGCCCCTCTCGGGAAGTCGGACCCGGCACTCTCACCATTTCTAGGCTTCCAGGGGGTCCTGGCGTCTTAGCTGTGCATCTCCCAATACCTGCAGGTCACCGGGCCACAGAGGCTTGTCCTCTATCAGCAGAGGACACAAAGGAGTAAAAACCAGATCTGGAGCTCCGGCTGCAGCGGGAGACAAAGGCCCCGCCACGTCCCGGAAGCCGCCATGTCCGCTCCAGCTGCGCGCCTGATTGGACGGTTCGCAGCCCAGCCTGAGCCTCAGCGCCAGCCCCGGGAGTACCCAGTTTTTAAACAGTAGCTCAGATGCTTAGGTGAGCCTGTGGGGTTTGTGACCGGCATCTGCAATGATGGCCTCTAATAATTTTGTTTTAAAAATTCTCGGGCTGGGCGCGGTGGCTCATGCCTGTCATCCCAGCTACTCGGGAGGCTGAGACAGGAGAATAGTTTGAACCCAGGAGGCGGAGGTTGCGGTGAGCCGAGAATGCGCCATTTCATTCCAGCCTGGGCAACAAGAGCGAAACTCCATCTCAAAAAAAAAAAAAAAAATTCTCACATTAGGAGGCTGAGGCAGGACAATCGCTTGAACCCGGGAGGCAGAGGTTGCAGTGAGCCAAGATCGCGCCACTGTCCTGGAGCCTGGGCGACAGAGCAAGACTCCTCTCAAGAAAAAAAAAAATTCTCGCATTTTGGTTAGGTCTCATATAGGTCACAGTGTGACCAAAACTCGGGGTCTTAGTGCGTCTCCCAGTTTCCACTGTTTCCAGTTCTTTAAAAAAATGATGGGAACATGTCAAAGGGAGCCAGCCTGAAAGTATTCCCCATCCAAACTGAAACAATGTAAGCAACCAAAGGAATAGAGTTGACCTATAAAATAAATCAAGTCAAATCAAATAAATACCCATACATTCACACTGATATATTAAAAAAAAAAAAAAAGCTTTAAAAAAGAAAAGGATAGGGCAAATCTTTTTTTACAGATATCCAAACATTAATCAACATAGATAAAATGCTAAAGAAATCATCACAAAACCACCACAGTTGTTATTGTATCCAAGGTTAACTGAGGAGGGTAATAATTGTAATTAACACTTAGAAAATAGGCCGAGCGCGGTGGCTCACGCCTATAATCCCAGCACTTTGGGAGGCCGAGGCGGGTGGATCACGAGGTCAAGAGATCGAGACCATCCTGGTCAACATGGTGAAACCCCCATCCTGGTCAACATGGTGAAACCCGGTCTCTACTAAAAATGAATATAATTAAAATGTCTATGCTGCTTAAAGCAGCCTACAGATTAAAGTGCTCTATCATTTTTTATTTTGTTTCATTTTTTATTGCATTATTCCATGTTTGTAACATGTTGCTCCAAATTATACAATGTTTTTTTTTGTGGTGGGTTTGGCTGATTCACCAAATAGAAATACAAAAAAAAAAAAAAACAGTTACATTTAAATTTGGAATAAACAACAAAAACTTTTTAGTACGGCTATGCAATATTTGCATATTTGTGTATCATATGTGTAATTATTGGAATATATTTATACAAATAACAATTTATAATTTATCTGAAATTCAAATTGAACCAAGTGTATTTTATTTTGTTTTTCAACCCTGTTTATGGGAACCATTGTTCTTTTCTCCAGACTCAGCATCAATTACCTGAAAAGCTTCATTAGAGAAAAAAAAATTCGATAATTAGCAGATACACTCCTATATAGTATGCAGTAGTAATTAGAGAGTGTGTGGCGTGAATTAAAGTGTGTGATCTGGATACCTTATGGGAAGAAAAAAATAGAATTCTTACCTATGCTTTTTAATCTAATTGCATCTCTTTTTGGGATACGACCTATAATACATGCAGTATATTAGTAAAGTGATTTTTTTTTTTTTTTTTGAGACGGAGTTTCGCTCTTGTTACCCAGGCTGGAGTGCAATGGCGCGATCTCGGCTCACCGCAACCTCCGCCTCCTGGGTTCAGGCAATTCTCCTGCCTCAGCCTCCCGAGTAGCTGGGACTACAGGCACCACCATGCCCAGCTAATTTTTATATTTTTAGTAGAGATGGGGTTTCACCTTGTTGACCAGGATGGTCTCGATCTCTTGACCTCATGATCCACCCGCCTCGGCCTCCCAAAGTGCTGGGATGATAGGCGTGAGCCACCATGCCCGGCCATAATTTTCTTAATTTACATTGTCTCATTTCTTTATTTTTTGAGACGGAGTTTCGCTCTTGTTACCCAGACTGGAGTGCAATGGCACGATCTCGGCTCACCGCAACCTCCGCCTCCTGGGTTCAAGCAATTCTCCTGCCTCAGCCTCCTGAGTAGCTGGGAATACAGGCGCGCACCACCATGCCCAGTTATTTTTGTATTTTTAGTAGAGACGGGGTTTCACCTTGTTGACCAAGATGGTCTCGATCTCTTGACCTCGTGATCCTGAATTTTCTTGAATGCTCTTTTCTGCATCTATTATGTTAATCATATCAATTTTTGCTTTTATTATCTTTACATGGTGAATCATACTTGGTAGGATTTTTATTACTAATTCAATTTCATTATATTTATTATTTATTTATTTTTATGGAGTTTTGCTCTTGCTGCCAAGGCTGGAGTGCAATGGTGCAATCCTGTCTCACTGCAACCTCCACCTCCTGGGTTTAAGCCATTCTCCTGCCTCAGCCTCCTGAGTAGCTGAGATTACAGGCATGCATCACTATACCTGGCTAATTTTGCATTTTTAGTAGAGACAGTGTTTCTCTATGTTGGTCAGGCTGGTCTTGAACTCCCGACCTCTGGTGATCTGCCCATCTCAGCCTCCCAAAGTGCTGGGATACAGGCGTAAGCCACCATCCCCAGCCTTCATTATATATTTTATACATCTTTGCTTTGTTCATGACTTCTGCTTCTTCATGGCTGTATCTTGGAAGTTTGTGTATCCAGGATTTTATCAATTTTCTTTGAATTTTCTAGTTTGCAGGCGTAAAGATATCCATAGCAGTCTCTGAGGATTTTTTGTATTTATGTAATGATTTATTGTGACTTCACATCTCTAACATTTAAATAGATGCAGAGTACAAAAATAAAGAAATAGATGCAGAATAAGTTTGACAAAAGTTGACATTCCTTTGTGATCAATCTCTGAAAAAGTTAGGTATGGAACAAATGCACCTCAGCCAATAAATGCCGCTATAAACAAAAAATGCACAGCGAACCACATACTAAACAGGGATATGTTGCAAGCTTTTACTCTAAGAGCTAGAACAAGACAAGGATGCTCACTCGAATCAGTCTTACTAAACATGGTATTACATGTCCAAGACAAAGAAATTAGAGAGTAAAATCAAAAGCAACCAGACTGGAAAAAAAGAAAGTTAAATTATCCCTGTACAAAATCTGAAGAATGGAAAAGCCAAAGACTTTACAAAAAACTGTTAGAACTAATAAACAAAGTCATTCAACTTTCAGAATACATAAGCTACATCCAAAAGTACGTAGCATTTCTATGCACTATCTCAAAATGAAATTAAAAAACAATTCCATCTAAAATGACTTTAGTAACTATGCTTTGAAATAAATTTAACCAAAAAGTTGAAACACCTTACATGATACTCTAAAGAACATTAAAGAAATTAATACACAAATATTATTCACTCATGAATTGACATTAATTAAATATCTGTATTATACAAAATGATCTACAGATATAATGCAACTCTATCAAAATACCAGTGACATACTTCATAGAAATTTAAAAAAGTATATCCAAAATTCACACAGTACCACAGAAGATCCTAAATATCCAAAGCAATAAAAAAATGAAGATATCATCCCACCTGACTTTGAAATATACTACAAACTTAAAGTGACTAAAACAGTATGGTACTTGAATAAAAGCAGATACATAGGCCAATATACTACATAAAGAGAGAACCATAGAGACCATAAATATATGTATGTATTTACAACTAACTTATTTTAAATAAAGGTGACAATTTCTTTTTCTTTTTTTTTTTTTCTGAGATGGAGTCTTGCTGTTGTTACCCAGATTGGAGTGCAATGGCACGACCTCCGCTCACTGCAACCTCTGCCTCCTGGGTTCAAGCAATTCTCCTGCCTCAGCCTCCTGAGTAGCTGGGACTATAGGCGCGCATCACCATGCCCAGCTAATTTTTGTATTTTTAGTAGAGATGGGGTTTCACCTTGTTGACCAGGATGGTCTCTATCTCTTGACCTCGTGATCTACCTGCCTTGTCCTCCCAAAGTGCTGGGATTATAGGTATCAGCCACCGCGCCCGGCCCGACAGTTTCTTAAGGAAAGAATAGTATCTTCAATAAATGGTGTTGAGAAAATTATATCCACAGGCAGAGCAGTAAAATGAGACCCTCATCTCACACCAGATAAAAACATCTACTCAAAATAAATTAGGTACTTAAATATAAAAACTGAAACAGCTACAAAAAAATAGAGTGAAATCTCCATAACATTGTTTAGGCATTGAGTTTTTAAAATTTAACCTTGGCCGGGCACGGTGGCTCAAGCCTGTAATCCCAGCACTTTGGGAGACCGAGGCGGTTGGATCACAAGGTCAAGAGATCAAGACCATCCTGGTCAACATAGTGAAGAAACCCCATCTCTACTAAAAATACAAAAAGTTAGCTGGGCATGGTGGTGTGTGCCTGTAATCCCAGCTACTCAGGAGCGTGAGGCAGGAGAATTGCCTGAACCCAGGAGGCGGAGGTTGCGGTGAGCCGAGATCGCGCCATTGCACTCCAGCCTGGGTAACAAGAGCAAAACTCCGTCTCAAAAAAATAAAAAATAAAATTTAACCTCAAAATCCCAGGGAACAAAAGAAAAAATAGATTAATCAGATTCCTTCAAATTTAAAAGTTGCTGCACAGAATCTAGTACAATCAACAGGATGAGATAACTAAGTAATGAGAGAAAATATTTGCAAATCATACATGTGAGGAGTTAATATTAAAAATATATAAGAAACTTAGCCGGGTGCGGTGGCTCAAGCCTGTAATCCCAGCACTCTGGGAGGCCGAGGTGGGCAGATCATGAGGTCAAGAGATCGAGACTGTCCTGGCCAACATGGTGAACCCTGTCTCTACTAAAAATACAAAAATTAGCCAGGCATGTTGGCGCGTGCCTGTAATCCCAGCACTCGGGAGGCTGAGGTGGAAGAATCGGTTGAATCCAGGAGGCAGAGGTTGCAGTGAGCCGAGATTGTGCCCCTTCACTCCAGCCTGGCGATAGAGCAAGACTCCATCTCAAAAAAAAAGGAAAAGAAAAAGAAAGAAACTCAAATTTAGGTTACTGTTACTGAAGGAAAAAAAAAAAAACGAAACTCAAATGACTATAACAAAAAAAAACAAATAACTATTTAAATAAACAAAAGGCTTAAATAAGTCTTTTTCAAGAAAAGACATACACATGGATAGCAGATATATGTAAAAATGTTCAATGTAAATTATGATCAGAGAAAGGCAAGCCAAAAACCAGTATGAGGTAGCAACTCACTCTTAGAATGACTCTTACTAAAAAGAAAAATAATAAAGTGTTGGCAAAGACGTGAAGAAAAGGGAATGCTTGCACACCGTTGGTTTGAATGAAAATGAAGACAGCCATTATGAAAAATGAAATAGAGATTTCTCAAAAAAAATCAAACTACCATGTAACACAGCAATTGCACCACTGGATATGTATCTGAAACAAACAATGTCGAAATGAAGAA